GATATACTTGATCGAAAACAACAGTGATTACCTTAGTCTACATCCAGATACAAGTCATAATGTGTTATCTTAATGCAGGTAAAGAATGCACACAGTTTGATTCCAAACTGTAATATTTCTAAGCCTATGATTTATCATTGAGGGAGACATTAAGTTACTATAAAAGCTACATTAAACCAGTTAATAAACATTCTTACAAACCACTATATCAAAAGGACTTTGAAATCTCTGATTTCCAATAAATAACTTCACTATCACGTTATTGGTTTTATTATGAAAAGTTTTTTTATTTAAGTACTATATGCGTTTCTTTTGCAATTAATTTATGTTGAATTTTATTTTGATTTTATTGAATATCATATTTTTAACGTTGAAAATTGTGTTCTGTGTGTATTTTTAAATCGTGTTTACTGTTGTAACTAGTAAATACTGTGCTTCCTATGATTTACCTTTGATTTTGTATTATGATTTTTTTAATTTAATTTTCTTTTATAGCTTTATTTTGGTTTAGTTTTTATGTTTACGGTGGTAATGTGCCTAAAAGTCAGGATTTCACCTTATGAGAAGGACTCTAAGATGATCACCTCATCTAGAAGAGATAATCAGACACTTGACCAGCCAATATCTACAGCTAGACATGCAAAATCAAAAATACTGTAAATATCGTCAATATTATGTTCTTAGTTGAGTTAACTTGTAATTTTCACTTCTGACTTGTTAATAAAGCCATCTTAGAGCATAACTTTCTTACTACACTTCAAGAAGTCTGATAGCCACATATAAAATATGTTTTTCTTTTATTCTTATGCAAATAAAGTTATTGTGAACATGAAACGTTGGTGTCTTAATTTTTTTCTATATTGAGAGTGTGCATAAGTGCTGTCAGTCTAACGTATTGAATACAAATTACAAAACTTCAAGACTAGAAAAAATATTGACCACTGTTTTTCTAAATAGTTGGCTTGATTTCAGTTACCGTTGTAAGATATCTTGTTGGTGTTTTACCCTTTTCCCATACCTATTGGACCTGGAATCTGTCTTCATGACAACCAGACAATAGTAGAAAAACGTGGCTGAACTTGCTGACAACTTTTTGTTGCCAGGCGCTGGTATGATCAGGGGACTGACCAAGGTAGCTCTGTGGGCATTGTTTCATACAAAGCTATGCTAATTGAATATTCATTTCTGCATTAGGCAAATGTGTTCTGATGTCATAGTGAAGAGTGCATTCATAGTGAACGATGTAAGACATTTCATGTGTGCTAGATCTGTATCTATACAATCTCTTCCAAGAAGTGTTTATGTAGTAACTTTACATTTTTAGTTAAATTTCTGACCCATCAATTCTGAATTGTTAATAAAGCCATGAATATTGTGAATTGTCTGACAGTATATCATGCTTACAAGAGGACTGGTAAATAACCCAACAAACTTCAGGCTTAAATTGTTTATCTGATGATGTGCCTAGTTGTCAGCAAGTGTAATACAAATCAGGATCTTACTTTCGGAGAAAGATCCTGGGAAGATCACCATATCTGGAAGAGAGATCAGCCTATATAACTACAGAAAGACATGCTAAATCGCAAGTATTATAAATATCTTCGATATTATGTCACTGGTTTTATTAGGTATTTTTTTTTTAAGTTTCAGGTTATCTGTATTTTTTTGAATTTTATTTTGGTTTTATTGAATATCTTATTTTTGATGGCGTATTGTGTATTACCTGAGGCAGGTGATTACAACATTTTGCAACGCATAATTAATTTTCTAATTCAACCATAGATTAACTGCCTCTGAAATAAAGAAAAGGGGGATTGTAAAGGCTGACATACTCATAAATTTCACCCCTTCCATAACTAATTTATAATATCAAATGTATTCAGTTACTTTTTCCAAATTATCTTGCAGCTGTTGTGCACGTGCTATGATATCTTTGTTAACTGAATGTTAAAAGATCGTAAATATGTACTAATCCTTCTACTTAGGTAAATATTCTATACACCAAATGGCTAGAAACTTGTCTCACTTTCCTCCTGTGACTATAACCTCCCACCCACCAGAGAAGGGCGAGCTCATCTCAACAGATGATCTAGAACACTTGTATAAGTTGGTAGTAGTTATGATTTAATTTCCCGATAAATGTTAGTTGGAATAGTCTGAGTCATAGGCTGTGTTGGATTCTGGTATATCACACTTTTAAGATTTTGTCCGAGTTTTACATAGTAGATCAGAATTTCTCTTGTCTTTGTCCAGTGTGTAGATGTATAGAATTATCCTTGTCTTTGTCCTTTACAGACGTTTTAGTAAAGCCTCTCACACTAGTAACCAGTAAGAATCAATAGAAAACTGTAAAACAGCCAGTAAGAATCAATAGAAAACTGTAAAACAGCCAGTAAGAGTTAAGATTTGTACAATTACTGTGAATAAATATTTCGTTAATTTATTCACTTGTATACGTTTTTCTTGCCTTTACTATCCTTGATCAATTTATTATTTGCGTAACGTTTAAGGAATGTGCATTTTGTCTATAATTTTAAACTTATCTGGTGGATATCAGTGTGTACCTGAATACCACTCTACAAATAGTTCATGTTCTTATTTCTGAACTTCAGACTTTTTGATATGTATTGATTGTGATAGATTTATATTTGCTTTAATCAGGAGACTGAAAATGTTTTATTGTATTAAAAACAACAGTGTTATAAGGTTTTGTTGATGCAACAAGATGTGTAAAACTAGAAGTAAGAATATTTTCTCTAGTTAAGGAATGCGTGTTTATGGGATAAGCATTGCTTTGCATTGAAGTCAGTTATTTAAAGGAGATTTTATGCATGAAATTGTGAAGTGCAATAATGAACAACTTAACTCACTATAGAATTATTATTGTAAGCTATAATGCTTTCATTAAATGTTTTCTAGAAGGTGTAGGATGTTATGATCTGTAAAATTCGTGTAGTGGGTTGAAAATGAGTATACTATAAATCCAAGTAAAATGAAGCAGTGAATCAATGAGTAATGAATGGGCAGTAAGTAAAGTAAATGACTATTCAGTGCAAATCAGGTTTATTTTAATGTCATAAAAGGCGTTCAGTGTTCGTAGTAAAAGGTATTGCATATATTAACGAATAAGTTCTATAAGTACGTTTATTTGTGAGTTAGAAATACCATAAGTCTCGTACTTTATATTGAAACGTTAATTGTGAACATAGGTCTACATTAGTTAGAGAGTTAATGTTGAAAAGGTATTCAAGAAATTAAACTTAAAAGTAAACACATAGTGATAGCAAACGTTTTTGTTGTTATTACGTGGACTGGATCTCACATTATTATTACCAAATAATCCAAAAGTACCTGTCTCCGGTAGGACATCTGTAGGTTTACGTACTTACAGCGCTAAAATCTGGGGTTTGATTCCTCACGGAGGACACAATAAATAGCCCAATGTGGCTTTGCTCTAAAACAAACAAACCAACCAAAAGAACACACATAATAATAGAACATGTTACAACACTTGTGACAGAAGTAAAATTAGTTTGGCGGAAATAATATAAAACTTTGACTACATTTCAAGAGACATGAAATTAAAAGAAGTACAAGAGAAATGGGTACGAGAATGAATTAAAAGACCAAGTAGAAACACACGTGAATATAAGAGAGGAGTTCGAAAAAATAAATATAAAATGTAAAGAAGATTTAAGAATAATAAATATGAGTGAAGAGAAGATCGACAAAACTATTGGAGATCTATAGAGGGATTACATCATCAAAAATACAGAAAGGCTGTAATAAAAAATCGAATTACGAAAAACGATCATTGAGGTAGAAAAGATCAGCAACAGAATAAAATATTTGGAAAAGAATTGGTAACTGCAAGTATTAAACTAACCACATCTCATTCCGCCTCTGTTCAAGAATTCCAAATTATTATTTATTGCAAACTATAGAATAGGAAAATCTGTTTCATCTACACGTATTACCACTACTGCTGTGCCACGTATTACTGCAGGACCTTGTTTCTGATAATAGGATTACTTTATTTATACCCTAAAGAAAACATAATACGTAACCATCAATTCTCTGACCTCATCCTGTGTGAAATTTCAATTAAATTTTAGTTGATATAATGAGCTTCAAACCCATCATGTTTGAAAATAATATTTCAAGCTACTAACATAAAAGATGTGAGCTAACAATTTGAAACATATTCTTCAAACTTCAACAAGAAAATAAAGCTAGTTACATCATCCTTCGTGAATCATTATCCAACTAAAACTTTTCTGTTTAACTTTTCAATTGTTAGGTTTTTTTGGCAGTATCTTTAAGAAAATGTATAAAATTATTTGCTAAAAACTAGTACTAGATCCTTAGGGTTTTAAAACTGCAAATTTTACCAATATCAGAACAAGCACACGAGAAGGATTTTTGATGTACTAATGGCCTATATATTTAGCTGTTTTTAGTTGTATTTTATTACTGTCCATGTTTACAAGTGAAGTTGTTTGATGTGAGGTGTTTTTTCGTATCTGAACTTGATCTGATACGGTCATATATTCGTGACTATATGACATCTAGAGTATTTTAGGTTTGTCAAGTAGTATTCATTTATATATAAGAAAGTTTCCAATCTATGTATATAAATCAAAGTTGTCCGTTTGTCTGTCTGGTGTTACATGTTGTTGTGAGGAACCAGCAGAATCAATTGCGATTAAAATTGGCAGAATTCAGGTGGATAACTCAAAGGCCGAGCTTATACGACAAAACAATCTGACGAACGGTTAGAGCTTCGCAGCCATCTTAATTTTATAACCTTAATGACAACAATTATAAAGTCCAAAGACCTTGCGCCAATGAGAGCTCAACTGAGTGAGGAACCCGAAAGAAATTTGTTTAATATGCTCGACATTCAAATCTCAGCATTAATTATTATTTTGGGAATCTCTATACGTCTTTTCACATCGACAAAACACCTTTGGCTGAACTTTTGTATATTTTTATTACAGGTGTATACACCGACTGGATTTGAACGCTATACGACTAGTTACGAAGTAGGGGACTATACGATAAATTTCACAGTGTGGGACACATCAGGTAAGCAAATCGTCAGATTCCTTGTTATTTGAATGGTCCTATATATCTATGTATATACTAAGGTAAATAATATCATAAAACTATGAATCATTGGTAAAAGAAATATCAGATTTAATATCCTGCTGGGTAAATCCATTTATCATGACTCGACATCCCAGGTAGTAGTAGCTTTCGCTAGCACCCCCCACCTCCAAAAAAAAAACGATGTTATTCACGGAACTAAAGAAGTTCTATAGTTACCAATTCAGATTAGGTAGTTACTTACTATTTTTGCAAATATGACAATGAACATTTTACTGTTGCAAAGGCTACTATTCCATTTGAACTGTATGAGCTTTGTATTTGCAGAACGAGACTTCATTCTTGGTTATATAAATATTATGAATAACCTGACTCCCAGATAAATACAGAATTGTGCATAAATAAGAATACAGCTACGTAAGCTGTGATATTCGATGTAATTCTAATTTAACGAAATTTATTATATTTAAATAAAATTCATGAAATACTGGACTATAGAAACGATTCATGAGAGGGATTTCCACTGATGCAAGTTGTTTGATTACCTCGTATTTTTCCATCTTGATGCGGAATGTTTAAAGTTGTGATGTTTGTTACTATCTATGATGATGCATAGAAATATGTATATTCCAAAATTGCCTCAATTTTTGTCCATCCGTGAAAATATGAAATGTAAGTTTTTACACTCTAGTGAGATAACTCAAATATTCAATATATCTGTATGATTATAAAATGACTGTCAAACTACTACCCAACACAATAAAGCTTTGTGTTTACCAGTCTAATTCACAACTCGACAAAGGCTGTTTGCAATTTGGCAAACCATATGATAACCAGACTGTTATCCATCTATAAAGCCACATGATTCCCAAACTGTTACCCTGATTAGACAAAGTTGTAATATTCCGAAACTACTATTCATCACAGAATCATGGGTTAAGGTTTGTCAAATTCATTATCTTTAGGATAACAGTAAGAAAATCGAAAAAAAAACAATAAAAATTAGATGTTACTTTAAAAGTTTTATTTTCGAAAATTGTGGGACTACTTGTTCCAGATGTTGTGTAAAAATGTAATATTTTTGGGCGTAAAGTAACCACATCTTTAGATTCTATGCGTTAAAACATAATATATCACTCGAGACATTCATATATTAGCGTGCTTGAACGTACAGCTAAGTCACATGTACTGTATTGCGTGTAGCTTACAGATTATATAGAGGTTTCTAGTCTTTGTTCAATATAATGATACATTGATGTAACTTTACTTGTCATCTCTCGTGATTAGGTTGACAGATGAAAGTTTGCAGGCAAAGCTATCCTACCCTCCCCTCACCCTCATTTATAAGAGTAAAGTCGAGCATTATGATGCAACAAACTTGATTTTAATATATTACCTAAGGATACAGTGTTGTTTTTATTGCATTAACACCAAAATTGAAACACGTGGTATCGCTGTTCGTGGTAATGAGAACATATTGCGTGATGTAACACAGAAAAGAAGACAAAACAGCACAGATCATTGTAAAGTTACAGCTACTATCTTGTTAGTATGGAGATTTTCAGATGTACGTTTCAGCTGCTAGGCTTTCTTTACTTCTTCTTATCATTATCTAACAATATCTTAAGTTGTCATTTGATGGATGTTTCTTCAAGAAGGCTGGAGTAAAGGAAAAATATATATACCTCACAAATGATGAGGGATAAATGAATTTAGTTTTCTGTGTTTGCTCAGTAAGAACAATGTAAACTTTATTTATTTGAGCAATTGTCATAGAACAAGACTTACGCGTCAATCCATGAACTCAGTCGTTCTTATTAATTAAACACGTGCTAGCTTCTTCGAAACATTGTAAATACTCAGAGTAGCTTATTACAGTAAAAGGAATAATTTGGGTATGAACGTGGTTGATACTTTTAACTCTTAAATTTGCACTGATTACTCGCTGATGATATCAGGAATCCCTCGGTCGAAACAAAAGGTATATATATTTATTAGTTAAATATTTTACTGTAACTAGTTTGAAATACTTAGTATTTTGAAAGGTAAATGAATTTATGGTTTAAAGTATTAGCTAAATATTTTATTGCCACACTTTTGAAACCTTTACACATTTCCAAGCGTGGCTTAATAAATCCCAAGCAAAATGGGTGTTTAATGTGTAATAAATAGATTTTTGAGAACGTACTTACACATGTTTTGTATTGTTACCAAATTTGAAACATACTAATCAGGATATGAAGCCTAGAGGACACGAATAGTTCACAATGCAGTAGGATTTACTTATTTTTTAAAAATTTAATCAAACTGGTAATGTAATCGAGAAACGGTTAGAGGGAAATATATCTGAAAATGTTATACTGAGAATCATATTTAAAGATTCAGCTTGGAGTTCTACCATCACAGTAGGAAGTACAAACCGTTGTTTACCAGAAATTGCAGTTTGAGTAAAAGAAAAACGAACTTGTGAAACACTATATATGATTTATTTCAAGATTAAATATATGCCCCCCCCCCCCAGTGGCACAGCGGTATGTCTAACGACTTACAACGCCAGAAACCGCCAGATAGCCCATTGTGTTGCTTTTTTGCTTAATTACAAACAAACAATACAAGATTTTACTTAAATTATTTTCATTTTTGCTTGTCATACTCATAGAGAACTGTGTTTCATATCACTAATTTCTGATTTTTCCTAATTTACTCAATAAATCCTACAGCGAGAACTAATACCTTCTAATGATTCTAAGAACCTATTTACAAAAAAAAAATCTCAAAAAATATCGATCCTATATTTCCAATATAAAACTTCCATCTTCTTTCTAAATATGTAAATATCTATAATCAGGTAATTTCTGTTTACGAAAAATATTTAAGAACCAAAGCAAAATATCATTCAATCTATAATTTATACAGATAATCAATTTCTTCCTACCATGAAAGATTTCAAACGTGCCGAAGCTACTCTTAGATTTGAAATGTTGACTGAATACATCCAATTTTGCTCTAAGGAATATTAAATTATTTTCAAGGTATTCTTAGCGAATACCGCATATCATTTCTTGTGATAGACTGAAGTAACATAAATGTAAAATAATTCAAAATAAAACACGCAATAATAAGAATCGAGCTCGTGTCATTAGATTTTAATATTTGAACCAAGTAGTTTTGTATTCAAGATAAAACATTTCCAACCTTTTCAAACAGTATTCTAGCTAATGAAAATTCCTTCTAGAATTATCTCAAATAATTTTAATATTCATACAAACCTGGCGAAATCCAATCTATTTCTAGGAAACATTTATTTTGTGGAATATATTTTCTAGAAATACATAAGCAAGGGGATTTTATAAAAAACAAAACAAAATAAGATAAGCATGTCAAACGAAAATATGTACGGCAGGTGACATGTTGCCCATGAAACTACTAAATTCCGATGTTGCTTGTCTACTCATTCTGATGAGTATTATTGCACAACATTTTCCGACACAGGAGCTGACATGGCCTGGTGGTTAAGGAGTACGACTCGCAATCTGAGGGTTGCGGGTTCGAATCATCGTCACCGAACGTACTCGCCTTTTCAGCCGTGAAGGCGTTACAATGTGACGATCGGTTGGCGGTGGATGGTATTGACTAGCTGCATTTCCTCAAGTTTATCACTGCTAAATTAGAAACAGCTAACGCAGATGGCCCTCGTGTAGCTTTGCGCGAAATCCAAAACAAACTAAACCATTGCCTGCCACTGCACCTTCCATTTTAACAAGCTTCTCTCAAGGACAGCGGGAACAATCGTGCACAACATATTTTGATAAATGTTTCACAGATATTCCACAGTGTATAAATATTGGTTTTCAAGACCGTGTTTAAACAAACCAAATGAACATTAGTCGATGACAGTTAAACCTAGGCACTTAACAAACATATTGTTGAGATTCCTTCTGCCATTTTTCTCTTGATAATAACCATCGATATTAAGTTGTAGATGAAAGCTTTTGAACCGCTATACCTTGTTCTTATCTTCTTTTACAGTACCACAAGATACACCCAGCTTCATCACAATGACTGTTTGGGTCGGAAAGTTCTCTTTCGTAACCATAGCCTTAATTTTAGAAATGGCGGAATGCAGAGCATTGAGAGTTTCCTTGAATATTTTATGTCTGATGGTCCTTTATTCTTAACAATCATGCTATACGAGCATTCCTCTTCACAAGGGGATTGATATATTTCTCTACCCACAATCCTACTCGTGTCGGCATTTCTATACTGGATGGTGTCGAGAACAGACAACTGCGGCGACATTCTAAAACATTAGCGTATGAAAAATCTTATAAAGTCTAATTAACATCTGTACATGCTACAGGGAAGGCTCGATTAACATTTAAGAATTAGAACCAGTTAATGTTTATGTTTTAACTTATAGTTTATTAATATATTCCCGCTAAGAGATAAAGTACTTATATGCATAAACCTTTGAATGATTAAGTTTAAGCATTTATTATATTTCGTAATGTTCTACCACAGTGAAAAATTCAAGATGTCGAAAAATACTCAATTAACAAAACTATTGTGTAAAGTAATACATTTATCTATTTAATTTAAAGATTTTGGATTGGTACTCAATTTAATATTCATTATTATAAATATTTATTGATATGGTTATGATTTTCATAATCGTTGTTTGTTTGTTGCTTAACACAAAACTACACAATGAGTTGTTTGTGTTGTGCCCAACACGGGTATAGAAACTCGACTATTAGCGTCATAAGTCCAGAGACTTGCCACTGAAGGCGGCATGGCCAGATGGTTAAATATCTTGACTCGCAATCTGCTGTTTGAATCCCTGTCCCATCAAACATGCTCGTCCTTTTAGCCGTGGTGGCGTTATAAGATGACGGTCAATCCCACTATTCGTTGGTAAAAGAGTAGCCCAAGAATTGGCGTTTGGTGGTGATGACTAGCTGCCTTCTCTCTAGTCTTAC